ATAATCTTGCTCAAGATGGGTTAGTTTTGTTTAATAGAATGAGAAAGGAGTTGATCGATGCTAATCAAATTACACTAGGGATCTTAGTTCATGCATGTACGAAGCTCGGAGCTTTGCATCAAGGGAAGTGGCTTCATGGATACTTGATTAAATGTGGTATTGAACTTGGTCCTTACTTGGTGACAGCACTTCTAGACTTGTATGCAAAGTGTGGAGTCGTTAGAGATGCTAGGTCTGTATTTGATGAGCTGCATGGTATTGATATTGTCTCGTGGACTGCTATGATCGTTGGGTACACCCAGAATGGCTGTCCTGAGGAGGCATTGAAGTTGTTCTTGCAGAAGGAACAGGTTGCTGTCTTGCCTAATGACGTTACCATCGCAATTGTGTTTTCAGCATGTTCACAGCTGCTGAACTTGAATCTGGGAAGATCAATTCATGGTCTGAGCATTAAGCTCGGGTCACGGGATCCTATTGTCACAAACTCTTTGGTGGATTTTTATGCTAAATGCCAAATGAATAGAGATGCTTGTTATGTATTTGAGACAATTTCAGATAGAGATGTGGTTGCCTGGAATTCCATTATTTCTGGGTTTTCTCAGAATGGTTCTGCATATGAAGCCCTTGAATTGTTTCACCAAATGAGAATGGGATCCGTCTTGCCTGATGCAGTCACCTTAGTGAGTGTCTTGTCAGCTTGTGCTTCCCTTAATGCTCTCCGAGTCGGTTCTTCTTTTCATGCTTACACAGTAAAGAGAGGTCTTTTATCCTCTAGTGTCTATGTTGGCACTGCGCTTTTGACCTTTTATGCCAAATGTGGGGATGCTGAATCTGCTCGTGTTATTTTTGATGGTATGGACCAGAAGAGCACTGTCACATGGAGTGCAATGATTAGTGGCTATGGAATCCAGGGTAATGGTCGTGGGTCCCTCTCAATTTTTGGTGAAATGTTGAAGGCAGAATTGAAACCCAATGAAGAGATCTTCACATCCATTTTATCTGCCTGTAGCCATACAGGGATGATTGGGGAAGGGTGGAGGCTTTTCACTATGATTTGTCAGGACTACAACCTAGTGCCTTCAACAAAGCATTATACATGTATGGTTGACCTATTAGCTCGTGCTGGAAGGCTTAAGGAGGCCTTGGACTTCATTCAGAAAATGCCAGTTCAACCAGATGTTAGCTTGTTTGGTGCATTTCTCCACGGTTGTGGACTCCATTCAAGGTTTGATCTTGGAGAGTTGGCAATCAAGAGGATGCTAGAGCTCCATCCTGGTGAAGCTTGTTACTATGTGCTAATGTGCAATCTGTATGCTTCGGATGCAAGATGGAGCAAGGTTAAGCAGGTAAGAGAGTTGATGAAACAGAGAGGGTTGATGAAAACTCCAGGTTGTAGCCTGATGGAGATGGATGTTGATCATGACTTCTCCTTTTCTAGAGCTGCCTCTCTTGCATAGTTCATGCATCGATGCCATGATGTACTTGGAATTGCACAGAAAAAAAATAGAGCTTTGTCATCTTAAAGATGATTGAAGTTGGTCATCGGGGATGTGCTTGATGATGAGATCTATGTTGATGGTTTCTTGTATCTTGAGCAATGAGCTGGAACTGCATGATGGATGTGGATACAAACATATGATGCAATCACAGAAAAGCTTTCTGTGGTCTAGTCGTTTTATTGATGTGATGTTTTACTTCTTCTAGTTCTTCAAACAAGGCCATCGAGAATCTTGTTCGGTTATCTTTTCTGTAAGATACATGAGAGGAAACAAATAGACAACAACCAAACCGAGGGGCCGAGTCTCCTTGGATGTGCCTGACATATTTGGTAAGAGCTTCGCAATTTAAATTACACAGATTTTCTTTTGATGATCGTAATCAAAATTTTATAAACACAGTTTTACTATATAGCTGGTTTTCTTGGTCAATCATTGGTTGCTGTCGTTATTTCTTACCTTGATCCACAATATTAAGATCATCTTTTACAGCATGACCCACATTTGACTAGTACAATTTATTTATTTCTTGTGGGAGGTCACCATGGAAGTGAGGTGATTAGTTATCGAGTGTGATTTACTAAGCCCATTTAATTCCTGCAAGAGCAATTTATTATTGTGATCATATTTTTTAACTTAATTTATTTCTTGCACAATTTCACAATTTGTTTCGATTATATTTCAATGCATTGCCAGAAAGGCAATAAAATTCTGCAAGTGAGAAACAAATAAAGGTGGTGACTAAGAGGCTGTACTAAACGCTTATAAAATTGATTCTGTTTTCATTTTATTTGTCTTTTGCAATTCAGAAGTATTATAGAGAGAAGTAAATTGGAGTATATTTTTACATTTTCATAATCTTACTAGTGTTGTAATCATAGAAGATACTCTTTCGGGGTGACTTTCATCTCAAGGAAAATAAAATTTACTGCAGGTATAGGGAGATCAAATTCAAACCATTCCTATGTATTAAGATACTCGTGGAGACTGGAGGTTATATTATGATTGCCATCTTCTACATTTGGATGAAAGACCGTCTGCCAGATTACATGGTGACTTGAGACCACTTTCTAGTTAAACCTGCTCGTGGGGAACAAAAGATTCCATGGTTAGTTCTTATGGATTGTTTCTGATTACTCTCTGGGACATTTTTTCCCCCTCAAAGGCATCGATGATCAATACCACCTAGTTCGGGCTGTCACTCTGTGATCTAGATAGAAACTTCTGGAAACTAAAGTAACAGTAATTCCAATGTGTAAATGCATCGTATTTCAGGACATTTGTTATTAAATTTCACCATTTGAAATAAAATTTCCTCTGGAGAATACACTAATATATCATTCGCAAGTTAATTTCTGTCATATCCTGACTTGTGCTCCAGGGTGAATCTAAAAATTATATATATTTCCAATGATGTCGATATCTGGATTCTCCAGTTAAGTTAAATTGCTTTGTATCCAGGAACCTTCTTCAGGTCTAAACGCTCCATAATTCCTCTGGTTTTCTCACGGCAGCCCAGTTTCCAATTTCTGCGTGGATATTAGATAACAAGGTGTCATGCCCACCCGGTGTTTCGTGCTCTCATCTTCAAGAGATCCTTTTCAATTCTTGGGATCGGGTCCATCCTCTGGTGAATTCGACACCCATTCAGCAAATTACCCAAACACTAGAATCTGCAGGGAATGGCATTGAGCTGATTATTCTTTAGGCTCCACTGATATCACCAGGGTGACTCAAAAGGTCAACAGTGCAGGCAAAGTGTTCTGAGTAAGGTTCAATGCCAAAATCCTTCATTAAGTCACGATAGAACTTTCCTTGCTCCACAGATCCTGAATGACAACATGCTGATAGGATATTCATGAATGTAATATGATTTGATTTTATTCCCAATTCTACCACTTGATTGAAGATGCTGATTGCAGCATCAATACAACCATGCATTTCATGTCCAGAAATCATGGTGCTCCATGAAACAAAGCTCTTTTCTGACATGCTACGAAAAACTCCTTCTGCAGTTTGAAGATCTCCACTTTTTGCGTGCATACCAGTGAGAGCAGTTTCAATATAAAGATCCTTCTCTACACCATACATAATGAGTTTGTGGTGAAGCCATTTTCCCCTTTCGAGATGCACCGTGTCCTCACAAAGCTTGAATTGCACTTAAAGAAGACCATATCAATCATCTCAAGACAATCGAGGTACATTTGATCAACCAGATGAATTGCCTCTAGTGAATTACCGCTCTAAGCGAACCGGAAATCATAGTCCCATGCATCTTAGAGCATTCTTGACAATCATAGAGTAGCTTGAATTGCACTACTCTTTTATTTGATATCAGTAAATATCACTAAATCCGAAGAACCACATCTCGAGTACATGCATATTAGAGCATTCTTGACAAACTCGCCCAAAAAGCACTGCTTGATGGCATAACCATGTATCTGATGCCCAAGCTGTCATAAACCCACATTTCCACAAGCTGACACTGCACTTGAGAGGCTAAAAGTGTCCAGTATTAGTCCTTGCCTCTGCATCTGCACAAATAATACCAATGCCTCCTCAAAAAACTCTTGCGAAGCAAGAGAGAGTTATACGGCATGCATTTCTCTCTCTAATTATGTGAGGAACTTTTTTGCAATGCCCTAGTTTACCACATCCAGCATATAATTCAATCAACACTGGCACTAGACAATTTTCTTGGAATGACATTTCTCTCTTCAGTGCATAATTATGAACGGCTATACCTACCCAAAGCCAACTCAATCCAGCACAAGAATTGGAACACCCATTAGGGCAAACCCCATTCGGCTCCACTTTCAACTCTAGCATCTTCACAAAAATCTCAAATGCTTCCTTAAACCAACCGCTTCGATTATAACAGTAAATCATGGATGTCCATGAGATAAAAGTTCTGCTGGCCATATCTACAAAAATCCTCTCAGCACTTAACCAATCATCACATGAACTATACGTTTCAACCAGGGAGATGCATAACGCCTCACAAGTGTCAATTCTCCTGCCATATCAACATAGCTAGAAACAATCCAATTCCATGAAACCGAGTATCTTACCGGAATATTATCAAACACCTTCGTTGCATCAGTTATGCAACCTAATTCTCCATATAAACCAAGAAGTGAAGTCTCAATAATAGGATCATTATCAAACCCATATTTAATTATCCTCTCATGAACTTTTGCAGCAATAGCCATATCCCCAAAACCAGCTCAAGCTCTCAAAACTGATGGAAATACGAAGTTAGTAATTTGGGCTTCATTGTATAGCATCTTATAATGGTTTGAAATGGCTTCTAAAAAGCTTGAGACCAACATGGCATTTTCTAAGGACACCCGCATTAAAGAATCAGGGTTTTGGTTCAAAGTCAAGTGTTGAGGATTCAATGGAACCCATTTGAGCATAGCACTCAATTAGTTGTTAGGATACCGGCATGCAAATTCGACAAGACAAAAGGTAAGGGACAAGATTTTTTATGCTAAATGCCAAATGAATAGAGATGCTTGTTATGTATTTGAGACAATTTCAGATAGAGATGTGGTTGCCTGGAATTCCATTATTTCTGGGTTTTCTCAGAATGGTTCTGCATATGAAGCCCTTGAATTGTTTCACCAAATGAGAATGGGATCCGTCTTGCCTGATGCAGTCACCTTAGTGAGTGTCTTGTCAGCTTGTGCTTCCCTTAATGCTCTCCGAGTCGGTTCTTCTTTTCATGCTTACACGGTAAAGAGAGGTCTTTTATCCTCTAGTGTCTATGTTGGCACTGCGCTTTTGACCTTTTATGCCAAATGTGGGGATGCTGAATCTGCTCGTGTTATTTTTGATGGTATGGACCAGAAGAGCACTGTCACATGGAGTGCAATGATTAGTGGCTATGGAATTCAGGGTAATGGTCGTGGGTCCCTCTCAATTTTTGGTGAAATGTTGAAGGCAGAATTGAAACCCAATGAAGAGATCTTCACATCCATTTTATCTGCCTGTAGCCATACAGGGATGATTGGGGAAGGGTGGAGGCTTTTCACTATGATTTGTCAGGACTACAACCTAGTGCCTTCAACAAAGCATTATACATGTATGGTTGACCTATTAGCTCGTGCTGGAAGGCTTAAGGAGGCCTTGGACTTCATTCAGAAAATGCCAGTTCAACCAGATGTTAGCTTGTTTGGTGCATTTCTCCACGGTTGTGGACTCCATTCAAGGTTTGATCTTGGAGAGTTGGCAATCAAGAGGATGCTAGAGCTCCATCCTGGTGAAGCTTGTTACTATGTGCTAATGTGCAATCTGTATGCTTCGGATGCAAGATGGAGCAAGGTTAAGCAGGTAAGAGAGTTGATGAAACAGAGAGGGTTGATGAAAACTCCAGGTTGTAGCCTGATGGAGATGGATGTTGATCATGACTTCTCCTTTTCTAGAGCTGCCTCTCTTGCATAGTTCATGCATCGATGCCATGATGTACTTGGAATTGCACAGAAAAAAAATAGAGCTTTGTCATCTTAAAGATGATTGAAGTTGGTCATCGGGGATGTGCTTGATGATGAGATCTATGTTGATGGTTTCTTGTATCTTGAGCAATGAGCTGGAACTGCATGATGGATGTGGATACAAACATATGATGCAATCACAGAAAAGCTTTCTGTGGTCTAGTCGTTTTATTGATGTGATGTTTTACTTCTTCTAGTTCTTCAAACAAGGCCATCGAGAATCTTGTTCGGTTATCTTTTCTGTAAGATACATGAGAGGAAACAAATAGACAACAACCAAACCGAGGGGCCGAGTCTCCTTGGATGTGCCTGACATATTTGGTAAGAGCTTCGCAATTTAAATTACACAGATTTTCTTTTGATGATCGTAATCAAAATTTTATAAACACAGTTTTACTATATAGCTGGTTTTCTTGGTCAATCATTGGTTGCTGTCGTTATTTCTTACCTTGATCCACAATATTAAGATCATCTTTTACAGCATGACCCACATTTGACTAGTACAATTTATTTATTTCTTGTGGGAGGTCACCATGGAAGTGAGGTGATTAGTTATCGAGTGTGATTTACTAAGCCCATTTAATTCCTGCAAGAGCAATTTATTATTGTGATCATATTTTTTAACTTAATTTATTTCTTGCACAATTTCACAATTTGTTTCGATTATATTTCAATGCATTGCCAGAAAGGCAATAAAATTCTGCAAGTGAGAAACAAATAAAGGTGGTGACTAAGAGGCTGTACTAAACGCTTATAAAATTGATTCTGTTTTCATTTTATTTGTCTTTTGCAATTCAGAAGTATTATAGAGAGAAGTAAATTGGAGTATATTTTTACATTTTCATAATCTTACTAGTGTTGTAATCATAGAAGATACTCTTTCGGGGTGACTTTCATCTCAAGGAAAATAAAATTTACTGCAGGTATAGGGAGATCAAATTCAAACCATTCCTATGTATTAAGATACTCGTGGAGACTGGAGGTTATATTATGATTGCCATCTTCTACATTTGGATGAAAGACCGTCTGCCAGATTACATGGTGACTTGAGACCACTTTCTAGTTAAACCTGCTCGTGGGGAACAAAAGATTCCATGGTTAGTTCTTATGGATTGTTTCTGATTACTCTCTGGGACATTTTTTCCCCCTCAAAGGCATCGATGATCAATACCACCTAGTTCGGGCTGTCACTCTGTGATCTAGATAGAAACTTCTGGAAACTAAAGTAACAGTAATTCCAATGTGTAAATGCATCGTATTTCAGGACATTTGTTATTAAATTTCACCATTTGAAATAAAATTTCCTCTGGAGAATACACTAATATATCATTCGCAAGTTAATTTCTGTCATATCCTGACTTGTGCTCCAGGGTGAATCTAAAAATTATATATATTTCCAATGATGTCGATATCTGGATTCTCCAGTTAAGTTAAATTGCTTTGTATCCAGGAACCTTCTTCAGGTCTAAACGCTCCATAATTCCTCTGGTTTTCTCACGGCAGCCCAGTTTCCAATTTCTGCGTGGATATTAGATAACAAGGTGTCATGCCCACCCGGTGTTTCTTGCTCTCATCTTCAAGAGATCCTTTTCAATTCTTGGGATCGGGTCCATCCTCTGGTGAATTCGACACCCATTCAGCAAATTACCCAAACACTAGAATCTGCAGCGAATGGCATTGAGCTGATTATTCTTTAGGCTCCACTGATATCACCAGGGTGACTCAAAAGGTCAACAGTGCAGGCAAAGTGTTCTGAGTAAGGTTCAATGCCAAAATCCTTCATTAAGTCACGATAGAACTTTCCTTGCTCCACAGATCCTGAATGACAACATGCTGATAGGATATTCATGAATGTAATATGATTTGATTTTATTCCCAATTCTACCACTTGATTGAAGATGCTGATTGCAGCATCAATACAACCATGCATTTCATGTCCAGAAATCATGGTGCTCCATGAAACAAAGCTCTTTTCTGACATGCTACGAAAAACTCCTTCTGCAGTTTGAAGATCTCCACTTTTTGCGTGCATACCAGTGAGAGCAGTTTCAATATAAAGATCCTTCTCTACACCATACATAATGAGTTTGTGGTGAAGCCATTTTCCCCTTTCGAGATGCACCGTGTCCTCACAAAGCTTGAATTGCACTTAAAGAAGACCATATCAATCATCTCAAGACAATCGAGGTACATTTGATCAACCAGATGAATTGCCTCTAGTGAATTACCGCTCTAAGCGAACCGGAAATCATAGTCCCATGCATCTTAGAGCATTCTTGACAATCATAGAGTAGCTTGAATTGCACTACTCTTTTATTTGATATCAGTAAATATCACTAAATCCGAAGAACCACATCTCGAGTACATGCATATTAGAGCATTCTTGACAAACTCGCCCAAAAAGCACTGCTTGATGGCATAACCATGTATCTGATGCCCAAGCTGTCATAAACCCACATTTCCACAAGCTGACACTGCACTTGAGAGGCTAAAAGTGTCCAGTATTAGTCCTTGCCTCTGCATCTGCACAAATAATACCAATGCCTCCTCAAAAAACTCTTGCGAAGCAAGAGAGAGTTATACGGCATGCATTTCTCTCTCTAATTATGTGAGGAACTTTTTTGCAATGCCCTAGTTTACCACATCCAGCATATAATTCAATCAACACTGGCACTAGACAATTTTCTTGGAATGACATTTCTCTCTTCAGTGCATAATTATGAACGGCTATACCTACCCAAAGCCAACTCAATCCAGCACAAGAATTGGAACACCCATTAGGGCAAACCCCATTCGGCTCCACTTTCAACTCTAGCATCTTCACAAAAATCTCAAATGCTTCCTTAAACCAACCGCTTCGATTATAACAGTAAATCATGGATGTCCATGAGATAAAAGTTCTGCTGGCCATATCTACAAAAATCCTCTCAGCACTTGACCAATCATCACATGAACTATACGTTTCAACCAGGGAGATGCATAACGCCTCACAAGTGTCAATTCTCCTGCCATATCAACATAGCTAGAAACAATCCAATTCCATGAAACCGAGTATCTTACCGGAATATTATCAAACACCTTCGTTGCATCAGTTATGCAACCTAATTCTCCATATAAACCAAGAAGTGAAGTCTCAATAATAGGATCATTATCAAACCCATATTTAATTATCCTCTCATGAACTTTTGCAGCAATAGCCATATCCCCAAAACCAGCTCAAGCTCTCAAAACTGATGGAAATACGAAGTTAGTAATTTGGGCTTCATTGTATAGCATCTTATAATGGTTTGAAATGGCTTCTAAAAAGCTTGAGACCAACATGGCATTTTCTAAGGACACCCGCATTAAAGAATCAGGGTTTTGGTTCAAAGTCAAGTGTTGAGGATTCAACGGAACCCATTTGAGCATAGCACTCAATTAGTTTGGTGGAGGCTTGTGTGGCGTTGAAGAGATTAGTGACTAAAAGGTGGGCACGGAACTTGTATAATTGTGTCTTAAAGTTTTGCAGGACCTGAACAAGGGCCTGTAGCGTGTCATTCTGCTTCTTTGTTAACAAGCAAACAACATTGTGGATTGTGTAATGAAGAAATGCTGAAGTTAAAGCACGCAATAGCAAATAAAGATTGGTTCCATGGGCCAGGACAGAAAGGGCGCCCTCCCTGCTAAGAGTTTAAACGTCCATTAAATCAATGGAAAAAGAGAGCAGAAAAAAGATTGGTTGAGCGAAAAGTAAAATGAGAAACCACGATATTGCACTAATAACTTAGATTCGGGCCATTCAGGGATATCCAAATCCAACCTCCCCAGCGTATGCAAGTTCCGGAAACAGGAAATGCCTGTTCTACCTTGGAGGGAAGCGTCTGAGATTTCATGAATGAAACTATTTTTGTTCAGGAGTTAAGCAGCAGCAAAAGCCAAAAGAGTTCAGGCAGACAAAAACTTGATCATAATAAATATTTTGGGAATTAATCTAGCTTGGTCCCTGAAGCTTTAAAAACTAACTAAATTACTCTAACTAATTAAATAATCCCTTGCCAGCATAGCATTTGTTTTTTATTGAAAAAATGCCTTGTTTTCCGATGAAAATTTCCCAACTTGGTTTTCTTCTTTTCTTTGATTTTTCAAAAAAGAAAAATAATTGAATGCGTTAGCAATGTTATGGAGGGATTCTGTTAGATGTTTAAAAATGGGGTAATAATTATTTTTTAAAATATATTTTGTGATAATGTTATGGAGGGATTCTGTTAGGATTTTTAAAAATATATTAAAATAATATTTTTTTTTATTTTTAAAAAATTATTTTTGATATTAATACATTTGAATATATATATATATATAAAATTTAAAATAGATATTAATATATCTGTGTCTATGTGTGTGTATATATATATATATATATATATATATAAAATTTAAAATAAAAAAAAATCAAATTTTTTTTAATACCAAACAGGCCAAGTAAAATTTCAATTTTTTTTTTTAATACCAAACAGGCCAAGTAACAAGATGATTGAAAAATATCAATTAAAAACATAGTTTCTGAAACTATGAGATTAGTTAATTAGTTTATTTAAACTACAAGGACTACGTTATAATTGAATTATTTTGGTTCTGAACAAACCGAAACATAAATACAACATTGATTGATGTTTCAATGTCTACAGAGAATTGGAACCTCAACGAACAGGAAACGTGCTATGATTTCCAAAGATAGTTGGAAAGAATTATATTGTGATTTACATGAATAATAGCCATGGACAAAGTTTTTATGCCACGTTGCTAACACATATGATCCAAGGTTGTTTCTTCGGTTTCCTTTAGAATGAAAGTAGCTGCTCCTCCCCTACTACTAATTTTGTTTGATTCAAAAGGGGAACAGCCCACCCCAACTAGTCGAATCAAATCACAACTGAAATTTCCAGAAAAACAAGAGGAAGAAAGCGCCTTCAAATCATACAGAGCTGGGATAATTCTACAACCTTTTCAGCTCCAAATTTTTGAGATCTCACGCGGACCAGAAGGCAGCCCTCTCTTGCTTAAGCATCAGCACCACCACCGCTATCCTCATCTGGTGGATCCATTGGCACTTCATGCCGAGGCCTATTGTACTTTTCACGCAGCTGTTTGATTGGGATAAAATCCCCTGCTGCATCCATCCCATAGAATAGAAATGATGTATAGGGATGATCAAACCTTCCCTGCACATTGATCATATGCCTAAATACAGTCGAGCCAAAAAAACTAGGGGCATGCTTCATTTTTTCTATATAAAAAAATACTTACCATATCTGGTTTCTCAGGAGCAACCAAATTTTCCTCGGGAACTGCAGAAAGGAACACCAATCTCATGTTCATGAAGGCATCGACATGGGTATTAAGAATGACCACATAACATCAAGCAAACAATCTGTGGCAATACACAAAAAGGAAAGCAAGCAAAATGCAGATTACCATATGCCACCAGTAGATTGGGATCCTCATGTACATCAACCAAAACCTGAAAAGCATGTAAGAACTTGATTGTGAATGCTCTGCATTATACCATGGAGGCTAGTGTACCAAAATAGATGCACGGATAAGATGAACACTAATCAACACCAACTCCTTTTCTTATGACAATCATCTCAAATTGGCCAAGAAGACAAATCATTGTCTTATAACAGAGTATGGCTGCGACACCAAGAAACCTAGTGTTCAAGATCTATACTGCACAATTATTTTTCAACCAAAGTTAGAAATAAAAAAATAAAAAAATATTCTAATTCAATAAAATCAACTAATTTGTCTACTTATCATGTTATGATCTCCAAACATAGCAGCACCGAAGCATTTGAAATGAATTTGGTCCATGGAAACTCCATTACATAGGCCAACCAAGCCTCTAGGCTCTAACCTCAACTCTTTTGAATCAAAAGAGGATAGATTTCATGGTATGAAGGAGGCTGGGGGGAAACCATGCTCCTTGAAACTTCACTCCAAAAACAAAGTGTTGGATTATCCTCTTCCACATTTTAAAAAAGAAGGGCGAGGGGTACAAAGTTAAGCTTAATTAAACCTGATAAAATGGCTGACTAGAACCACGAGCTAACTTTTCAACCTGTGCTGTTTCCATCCATGAACTTGACTCACAGCATATTGGATCCATTCCACAAACCACAGCTTGATAGCCTAAGTTCATAATATACCTTTCAGTAGCAACAAGATAATTTAGATAGGCAAATAAGTGCAAAATGTAAAAGCAACCAGTAGAGTTGGGTTTCTTCCATGAGGAAATTCTGCCGGCACATAGCAAAGGAGAACAATTCCATGGAAATTATAGTTATTTGACCAATATGGAAATTAGGAACCACTAAATATTAGAGAAAGAAAAGCCAGCAAGCAGCTTTGGAAGTTTGTTACAAGGCCAAGATCCAGACTGTCTCAAGAGTCATGGAAACACAAACATCAGTTAACTATGAATTGTTGACACATCGCAACAGGATAAACAACTCCTAATTTTTAGTACTTGCACTTTAATTCTTCTTATCTACATTTGTTGAGAGACTCTATAAAGCTGTAGAATTCATGGGCTTTTTACAGAGTCCAGAATCATAACATTTGGTTCTTCAGATATGCTCTCATGGCATGAATACATATCAATGGATTCTTTTTCTACATATTTAATTCAACGGCACCTCATACAGGAACTGAAAACAAATGAAAGATTGAAAAGGGCATGCAGAAGCCGAGCTTACATACCAAAAGTTTTATGCTTCACTTTCTGCCCTAAACGAAATGCATACTGTGCATTTTCATATACCAGAGCTTTTGCAGATGCAGCCAAAGATTCTGCCTCCAGTTCTGAAATTTGATCTCGTAATTCAGCTGCCACTACATAATTCTCGTTATCAATTGCATTCTGGAGGTCTGCACTGCAAGTAAAGAAGCAGAAACACTTTACAGCACATTCTAGTTGAGCCAGTAAAATGCAACATAAGAAATCCAAAAAAAAAAAGGGAAAGAAAAGAAAAGCCTGAAGGAAAATGTTAATCATTAGATATATTACACCTTTTCTAATATTATCTAATATAATTTTTTGGATTTGAGCCCAAGAAGAATAACATGGAAAAAATGTTGGACTCACCGTAGTCGTATGATACTTATAGCCTTATCTTGAGCTTCACTCTTTGAAGATGATCCTCTCTTCGCTTCCTGCTGCCTAATGACCTCACCTTCAACCTTTCAAGAAGCGAACTCATTCAGCATGCTGCAAATTCATTTGATAACTCTATTTACCAGCTAGCTTATTCTCCATGGACACTGATATTTATTGGTGTTAGGAAAAAACATGCACAATTTCAGTGTAAGAAAACATAATCCAAAAGTCCCAGCAATGACTGAGTAATATAAGATAAAATAAAAGTTGTATGAAACAAGAAGATTTTCAGCGAAAATTAATTAACAACACAATTGAAAATCAATTATAATAGGCCTGGAGATGGAATGTAACCTCTGTAAGCTTGTTTCTAAGTTGTTGTGCAATGTCATACTGCTCCACATTCAAAGCATACTGCAAATTTCACAACATCCATCCAAAAAAAGCTTGTGAGCATTAACAAAAAAAAAAAAAAAAACCCAAAAACCAGGGGATAGAACAAAATGCTCCACTCTTTTATGAAAAATAAAAAATCTAAACAAAAAGACTGCTAGCAAACCTGAACTCGAGTGGCCAAATCTAACTGGAAAAAGAAAATCAGTATATCTTCATTCGCACTCTCACTACGTTCAGAGCTTGCGTCCAGCTCCTGCTCACCCCCTTTGTTGAACAGCCATCCTGCTTCAACCCTTAAATTTCTTCGTTTTAATGTGTTAGGGTTACCCATAAAGTGTAAACCTTGAAGGCAGTGATGCAAAGGGCATTGGCTATCAAACCCAGAAACGGCATGAGTTTTCCTCAGTAGGTTCGAATGCCTCCTCCACTGCGGTACGGTCAATCCATAAACTCCACGGCTTACTGAAGCTGCTAGACAAGTTAACGACGCACCTTGCACCATTTTTTTGGCCAGGTAAAGAAATCCCTTATAGATCGTAAACTAACCGTCCTCTATTTGCATCTGCGGTTCCAAAATAACCCAATTAACCATTGAACAAAAATAATAACGGTTCTGGTTGGAGGAAAAAACTCACCGGAAATACGCAGGGGAAGAAAATGGGCCAGTTTCCGCAGAGACCTGACCTCTCAAAAAATTCAGCAAGTGAAGATAGTGTGTGATCCTCTGCGTCGAGGTATGCAGACGCGTGTAACGCTTGTGGTTGGGGCTTCATGTGTATATAATTAAATATCAGGATTATATTTCATATCCAACGCTTATATATATATATAATTTCACGGTTTTGTATTACTTTGAAAACAATTTAGGCAACACGAATGGTGAAGATTTGTTAATATGTAGAATGGATGGTACAGTGGTACTCTTTTTTTTTTTTTTTTTTTTTTTGTAAACGAAAAACAAAATAACAGCACATAAATGAGCTAGCCAGAAATGAGAAAATTTTTAACACACTTCCACAAATTTTGCCTTTTCTCACTTCTTGATATTTCTAAACGTGTTTCCATAGTTTTACTGGGAAACGATTCAAGAAGTTCACGCCATTTTACCAACTCGATAAAGGGCCACACTTGGGTTTTGAAGTTGTGAGGACGAATTGAAGAAGGGTATTTTAGTGTATTTGCTTTTTGGGTCCCTCCGGGCGCCTTAAAGCTTGCAACCCACTCCGAAGGGAAGCTTGTGATGCTCGGGTTCGCCAATCCATCAATAACTTCTGGATTAAAAATCCGAGTTAAGATTATGCTTTGATGAAAAAACAAATTAAAGACTTTTGACTTCTTTATTCTATTTTATACTCTCATTTCATCAAAATAATAGCAGCAATAACTCAGATCATTCTAATATAATTCAGTTTTTCACAAGTTATTTATGAAGAATTGCTTTGAATTCTGGCTTCAAATCAAGTTATTCTTCATAAACCATGCCAAGCATGTTCTACTTTACCTCTGAAAATACAACCACCTTACATTTTATTGATAATCTTCCAAAGATAAGACAGCGCACGAACTATCTTTATTTCCATCTTCAAAAACAATCATTGCTCAACAAATAAAATAAACAAATGAGATGCTATTATACAAGTTTCAACACCAGATGCAACCCCAATTTTTTTTTCTTTTTTTAAAAAGAAACCATACAATTTGTACATAGATAGCATCAAATGCACCTTCAAAGGAGTACGACGGGAAGAGAATTGAAGAGCCACAACCTGAATTGCAAAATCACGTGATGAAACTGTATCTCTAACGCCTACGGTCGATGATACACATATTTTGTTCTAGGGTCCACAATAAGACCCTTTCCTCCATTCACTTCTAAATCATGCCTGCATCCACCACATCATGCAGTCAGGTTATTGTAAGAAACTTCCCTTGTCCATTCCATCCTTGCCACTGTAGACCATGATGAGGATATACAATGCGGGGACCACAAATAGATGGCAAGGTATTTGATCCTATAACTAAACTTCTCTTAATTAAAATTTAAGGAAACCCACTAAAGTTATGTTTGCAATTTCTTTGCATTTTGGGGCCAGTAGGTAAGCATCTACAGCACCAAAACGCTAAAAGCTAAAACATAAATAACCAGGTGAGTAGACAAATTTCATTCCGATATATTTACCACAACTCCAATTGATGATCAAAGATAGATGAATATGAACCATAATAGAAGCAGAAAACTCAACTGGAAAACAAAGTCGGGGATGGTCAACTGCTCACGAGGAACATATCTGAACAGCTGCAGAAGCCGATCCACATATACCACTTTCTTCCAGGTCTAGAGGTCAAGTTCAAGCAGTAAACTTACAAAATAGATTCAAATTTTACTAGAGAAAAACTCAAATAAAAATACATACCACATTATCAACAAATACTTGCAGAGCGAAAATTGTGGTCTTCAGGTGAAAATTTGGGTGAAGAACATATATTGCCTACACATCGGATGAGGAGATCAAATGTACAAACATAAATATATACATTTATGAAGTTAGATTACGTGTGCATTGCTTACATGCAGATTTCGCTGGTGTTTCCGACCAAGTATTTGCTGTAATCTTCGCATCCATCCCATGTCTGGTTGACTGTTGGTCAAAGTGGTAATTATAAAATGAGGAAAGCTGATAAGTTTCAGGAAAATGAACTTCTCATAAAAATCATAGAAACTCAAATAAAGAACTTGAAAATCCTGATCTTTCCAAATCCCAGGCACATCTACTTGAGTAAAGGGCAGGTAACAAACAGTTACCATCATCCCCTGAAGGGGGGGGGGTAATGCTAAAGAATTTAGAACAAATAAGGAGGAAAAAAAAAATCAGAATTGAGTAGAAATATGATCGCCAGAAGTTTCATTACTCACAGTTGCAAAGAGGCTGCAGAGTGAAAATACACAATCGTATAAGGCTTCTGTATCAAGGGCTCAAATTCCTGAAATTTAGGGACCAAGATAACATTAGTTCTAAACCAACAACCAGATAAATGAAACTTATTAAAGGATCAGAACAAGGATATATGGAGAGTATGATCCAGGATCAAGAAGCTAATAAATGAGAATAATAAGCTAGATAAACAAATTACCTTAATCACATGAAGCACAAATCGCTCTAGATCAAGACATCGTAGCAAAAAATGCGCTCCCACAACAACCATCACAGGATGGCCCTCGCTATCTACCCCACCACGGTAACTAAAGTAGCAAGAAAATATCTAAACTAAGTTATAGGAAATCCAAGATTATGAGCACTAAGCATTAATGAAAGTGACAAATACTGTACAATGAAGGAAACACAATTTGCACAAAAGTTACATGGCCAGGTGGACAAATTCATGGTGAGAAGATCTGCAACAATATAATTAATAGACACAAACAATGAACGCTACACCAATTGTGTTGGTTCAACTGGAATAAAATTATGCAATGGACAATCAGACTTTTAAACAATTGACCTTTGGAGAAAAGAATTACAATCTAAAGCACATGCAAATAAAGATATATAAATGCTTACACAATTTTCATTTCTGCAATTTCAGAAAGATTAAGAGAATTTGCTTTAGCTAGGTATCTTGAATGAAGAGAGTATTCTTCAGCAGCAGACAATGGAGGGCCTCCAAGATTGCCGAATCCAAGCATTTTGGCACAATTCCATCCACTCTGTGCTTGTGCACTCTTTTCCCATTGCTCCTTACGTCTCTGATCTGGATCCTTAATCAAGGACATGAAGGCAGGATCCAAATACGAATCCAAGTACGATGAATTCCTGTAAAATGGAGCAACATTGATCAGATGAGCATGTCTGTGAGTGACATATTCAAAGAACCACCACATGAGATTACTCTTCATGAATGAGTATATTCTTTTTGAGAGAATCCTGAGAATTAGCCATTATACTTTCATTCCAATTAAACACAGATATTCAAAATTTACAAATAATAAGAAATTAAATGCAGTGATCTAAACTGAAAAGCGACCATCTTAAACAAGAAAAAGAAGACAACAAAGACAAGAATGTTTAATTTTGTATTGCAATTAAGTCAACTAACCTTCGTACCAAGCCAACATCAATGACAGGAAGTTCCGCTGGAGGTTGGGAAGGTCTCGGAATATTTTTCTTGGGCAAAGGCTTTATTCTGATTTTGCGTTCATCTATTATCGTCTCACCATTCTCGTCCCCAACATCAGCAGGAAGTTTTGAGATGGCCACCTCTTCTTCATGTTTATCTCGAGGAAAGTACAGTGGAAGTAATCTACAATGAAAAAGGGAAAAAGGGAATAATGACCACATCTGATGGAATCCTTACAAAATAGTGGTTGTTGGAATGGAAAAAAAATAATGGAAAAAAAATAACTGATGTGAAATGTCACAATTGAGGCATGGTCATTTTGTTTAAAGAAATGACAGAATGTGCATCTTGCACTAGCTAGTTTGGGCTAAGGCTCATTCAGTTGGATTGGACACTTTTTGCATCTCTAAGCAACAGAATGGAGCTACAATATAGAAGTACCTTTTATATATTTCAGTATCAGTTGATGTGGTAGTACAAAAAACAACAGCTGTAATCTTATCTTTCTGCTTCTCAAGAAAACGCCGGACAGTCCCTGAACAAAACCAAACACAATTAATTAGATGACAGCAAATCACATAAGAAACATTTAGCCATCCAAACACAGACATCATCAGAAATAAAAATTCCTCACTTATAGCCACATGAGCAGCTGGTTCACGCGGATAGTTTTTAGACTCTGTATATATGCACCCCATGGCGATGCTGCATTGTATTTCAAGTAAAAATTAGCTCCATGTTTTTGAAAATCAAAGGAGCACAATAAATTAACAAAATACCAGAAAATAATGGAGTAACAACCTTTGAAGCCCATTCTCAATGAGAAGCTCAAGGCAAGAGCGATAGCAGTGACTCAAAGCGTTCTCTGCAGCAGTATGATATTTCACTGCATACTTAGGACCAACAGTGTGGATAATTCTCCTAGCATAATATTAAGTAAAACGTTAGCCTGAGAAAAAATAATTAAGAATCAAAGCTACCAGAAAGAAAACCTGATGTATTGCAACAAATAATTTGAAAGAAATTGCAACTAGCTAACAAAACATTGAGGACAAAAAAGGGAAAGTAAATTAAGGAAAATATAAGTTGACGTGCAAGGAGTGCAATATGTAAGGTATGGAAGACATGAGTCATTGAGCATGGCTTTTGAAGGATGAACACAAGATTAGACGGACAAGAATCAAGTCATCAAGCATGGATTTTTTGTGATATAATGCAAAAACAAATTAATGATTCATTATCAACAAGTAGAACATGCCAGCATACATACCTAACTGGAAGGTCATATCCATTAGTAACTTTTGCCATCCCTGTTCGACATCCACCCTGACACACAAATATGCATATCAAGTTAGTTCCACTCTCGTATTTTCTTATCTCCATAAAAATCACCTAACAATCAAACAAGCTAACTTTAGCAACTATAAAAGCCTTGAACATGTCTAAATTCGCCTCAGAATATGAATAACAGATTTTGTGCAGCGACATTCGCATCACTTTTATCAACTATCTTTGCATGATAAAACAGTACATATATTTATGGTCCCTGAATCGTTAAAAATCCCAGTAAATAATGCTAAAAAAATGAAATAAAACCTCCATATCAAAGGAAAATAGCCAAATATTAGCAGCCAGCAAACAATCAATAGCATACCAGTGTCATGCATTCTTCCGCAAGACCAGGTCCAGCTGCTGCATGCAGACCAGGACTGCTGTGTGCCTCATCCAGATTCTATAAACCATCAATTAGAAGCACATTAGAGATAATATAAGTGAGTTGCTGGTTCCTTTTATTGGTGTTCATATCCGTGAAAAAGCTTAATGCAATTAGGAAAAAAAAGATTTGAAATGCTACAGCAATGCAATTTACTTGTTTGTTTTTGCGTTTTAAAAGCACTTTAAAATTTTTTTATTTAATTTTTTGCTTCAAATTAATATTTTTTTTGTGTTTTCATATTATTTTGATGCGCTAATATCAAAAATCATTTAAAAAAATATTTTTTTTTTGATGTTTTTCTGAGTGAAAAACACTTTAACAAGTAACCACAACCACACTTCCAAACACACTAAGGATCTTCACACTAGAGCACACGAATTAGCAATGGATGCACTGAGCTGAGATGATGAGTTGGCTTGGTGCTCACTTTGAGTTGAGAGACAACCAACTATTCTTGAAATTGTCAGCAAAACATATAGCTCATATATCAAGTGTGTCCCCACAGGACAAGGATAAAACAATCACGGTACTTTAATGTCTCATATTATATCAGGTTCAATAAAAGCTTTTAAGATTTTCCATGGTCCAAAATGGGAAAGGAAAAGTCTGGATATGAGCCCAACAACCCAAGCACAGAACAAAAACTTTCAGATTGCAGGTTCTAAGATTCAGATTTTATTGTAGAATACGTGGAAACCATTGGTTTATACTCTCATGTTATATTAGGGTTCACCGAAAACCAGACTCCACTACCATATAGCTATCCAGACCAGTTGCAAAAGTAGCAAAAGGTTTCTTCAAATGTTTCACTCTCTAACTACAGATGTCAAATCTAGATAACCATAGATCACTTAGGCACAACAGGTAAAAAGGCAACAGTCATCGGTTCCAAAGATAGCACTGCTCAAGCAGTTCAACCAGAAAAAAGGGAGTGTGCAACATTCACCTCATTTGTAGAATTCACAACAGCATCCACCTCAAGATTCCAAGGGTGTCCCCTCCATAAATATATCTTCGAGTTGATCTCATGATCAACTGGAAATCTCGATACCATCCCATAACTACTACTTTCCCCCTCAGGATGAGCCGTTAAAGGATCAGGGAAATATGAATTTGTAAATGAAGGGTCTTCATTATCATAACTGAATGAAGATCTACTCTCTGCATCACTCCATCGTGGAACTTGATCCAAAGTCACAACTGAATACCCATTATCAGTAGGCGACCCACCTCGGGTTGTCACAGCTGTAGGCACACGCTGGTACATTTTCTGTAGCTACCAATTAAAATTTCAGCTCCTGAAGTTGTTGGGATGATTAACCCAACAACCACCCACTTGAAATTTTTAACACAAAATCACACTAATCAAATAATTTTCCTGAAAGAGAAAAACATCAGATCAAACTCAAAATCCAAATCATCACATGTACAGCTAAATGAAAATAAGATCACAATTCCTATCAAAACTAGCAAAATTTGACCTAACCACATTTGCTTTACATTCTAACTCCTTAAAATTCCTTGTAAAATTTGCATTAAAAATTGAATAAGAAAATAACCTAACCTAGTGACCCAATTCCACAATTCATGGTAATATTACTCATAGGTAACAAAACAGCAGAAAATCCCCAACCTACTTGGCTTAATTAAGACAATTGATAGCAACAAACAGCATTGAAGCTGAAAGAAAAGACAAAGACATTCAATGTCACCTCCAAGTCAAGTTTTGTGCTTTGAAAACCTAATTTTTAAATTCCGCGACAGAAATTAATCGACTCGTCAAAGAAAATATGAAAGGAAATGAATCCGAGAGAAGATATACTCACGTACCTTTTAGGGTAGGGATTGGAGAAGGTTTTTAATATTTTATTTATTGGGTTAATTAATCATCTGGTCTGGTATGGTGTGGTGTTGTTTTGTTTTACGATTAATTATGATTGCTGGTTCTATCAGCTCTGCAGATGGCTAGCTCATCTGACCATTTGTCTTTTTGTGGGGAGCTTCACGTCAAATTTCAAATGTATCAAAATCACCCCTTCATCTTTCTCTCGATGACATTTAAGGGTTTCTGTATTAATAATTGTAATTTAAAGTAATTTTTTTAAAAAATATATATATTAAAATAATATATTATTTTTATTTTATAAAAATCATTTTTAATATTATTTTATCAAAAAAATTAATAAAAAAATTAAAACTTTAAAAAAACACGGTTCGAATACTATTCATACTGTACTTGGTTTTGCCAATAAAATTTGGCTAAAATGATATAAGAGATAATTGAAAAGTTATGGCCAATAAGATATATAATCTTTTTTTTTTGGTAATAGTGAGAATATTGATGGGCCACATCCAAACTAATATATTTACAGAAAATATGTCGTTTTGGATTCGAAGTGCATGTATATATTTTGGTGGAAAGTGTTTTTTAAAATATTTTTATATTTAAAAATATATTAAAATATTTTTTTAAAATTTTTAGCTTCAGCATATAAAAACTATTAAAAAATTGTTAATTTAATATTTTTAAAATAAAATTCACTTTTAAAACACATTAAAAAACAAAAACATCAAACTTTCAAACACTTTAAAAATCAATTTTTTCCTTTATATAAGAGTTGAAAATGGGAAAATGCCTTTTTATTTAGAAATGAAAAAACATGACCAGAACATTCATTGGTGCAAGTGTTTTCAAAGTTTGGAAGCGCTTTACTGGGTCCATTATGGAAAGAGACAACTCCTGTCTTTTCTTTTCTTTTCTTTTTTTTCTTTTTTTGATAAAAGATAGCTTCTGTCTTTAGCAATTTGTAATAAAAGTTCGGAAATTTTCCAAAAGATTTTACAAATGGACGTTTTTCCCCGAAGAAAGTAGCAATCCAACGTCAGATCAGAAGGGGAAAAAAACTGCATGCGTGCTCTTTCAAAATTATTTCATCAAATACACTGAAAATATAACATAAAAGTTACTGTTTTATGGAAGTAATCCAAAACCTGCTACTATTGACGTTGCAATGTGAAAACAGACATCTAACCATACATGCTTGGAAAAATAACTAGAGCAAGACAACACTCAAGAAAGCATTCACTAGAATTGATGGCTACATCTATTTCATTCCTGCCTTCTGCTTTAGCATAGCGATGAAGTTTTCTCTATCCTCTGGTGACATGCCTTCTGCTGAACAATCTCCAACGCCCCATTCTGCCCCACGTATGCAATACTTGTCTTGAATTTCTTGGCGGTTTCTGAACATTACATAACACAATAACATGTAAAATCAGTAGGCCATGATAAATTTATGTTTAATCTGGAGTATTGATATATGCATAATGATATGCTAAAATGCTATGGCCTAACAGGTTTTAAACCTACTGCCGCTTTGCTTCCTGACTCATTTGTCATAAAAATTCACTTCTAAATACCAATACTAGTAGTGTGAATGGAGCAGTTCCTCTCTCTTTTTTTCCATCATCTTCTTTCCACTGAAGTAGAATGAAGATTGCGGAGAAGGGCCACTCTTTACACGTGAATTACCCAGAGGTCCTGTAAAAGCATTAGCCTTGCTAGTAAAAGGGCATGGCATGACACATGTAGCTCTCAAGCTCATGCAGAGCTCATCCACTTTTAGCTCCATTAGATTGAAGCACGGCATATCAATAAGCATGAAACCAAATTAAAAAATAGTTTTGAATTACTTTTCTTTGTTCAGCTTGGATCGCTCAAGTAGCTCCTTGAGAATGGGAGATGATTTGAATTTCTCATCAGCTTCTGCGTATTTCTTCTGGTTTTCTTCTGCAAAAGAATGACAGTTCATTATAAAACTTGAAAATGGTTGTCAAGTCAAAGCATTAAAAATTTGGAAGTTGTAATATAATCACTACAAGAGAACAAACCATTGAAACGGCTAAGAAAGTCAATTTGAGGTAACTGGGGACCAGGAATTGATTCTATTCCAGAAAATCCCGACATAATTCCAGCTTTAGCTGCAAAACCCAGAAGCACCGATGATCAAACATGCTCTTGCTTGGCAGTTATTCTTCACAAAGTCCCATAATAAATGCCAAAAAGTTTCAAAATCCTTCAACAAACTAATGCACTGACGGAGAATTAAAGATGTGATGCAATGACAATTGCAATCATCCATAAAGTAACCTCCTCTTTTCTAACCAACAAAATTGCATTTCATATTGAGGAATTCGTTAGTTCCCCAGCAGGCCTAGGCAACTTCCTTAAAATGATTTCCTGAAATCTACATGACTAGCAAAAGCAAGCAGGGTTTCCATGCAATTTGTTCGAGCACAATTCTTTCAACAATCAATCAAATGTTGCATGTCATCGTGAAAAAAAATTTGCAAGCATATACAAGGGTCAGAATACTGCTAGCTAGAAGCTAGAGAAAACATAAAACACGGGAACAGAATAGAATAGATTTAAAAAATTACCTGGAGTTGCTGAGAGAAGCAAAGCAACTGAAACAACCAAAGGAAGAGATTTGTGAGTCACTTGGCAAGATGGTAAAGAAGCAAACCAAGATAAATTCTTCGGCGTTTCATTGAACCCGAGTCTTGTTTCTATTCTCTTTCGATGGTTGATCTTGGGGTTCTCACAGACGATGAATTTGGTGGATGAAATCTGAAAGAGAGGTTGGGAGAGGGTCTTCATTCTCTCCTCACTTGCGTTTTGAGAGATAGATAAGGCTTTATAACTTGTTAGAGGAGAGGGAGGGGAAGGAAACAAACGGTCGATATTAACCAAACTGAAATTCAATAAGAAAGCTTTCGTGTCAAGGACTCGTTGATTCAACTTGTGGGGCAAAACCGCGACACGAGGGATCAAGTTTAGTGTGTGTGTGAACGGTAATTCATTCTCTTTTACCCAATTAGAATGTGACATGTCAGATGATGATGTGGTAGGTCTTCACGTCAAATTTAAGTTTTCCCTTTGTGATTTTCAACGAGCAAGTTCGTTTCACGAAATTGTTTCGCTGGGATTACGATTTACGAAGGTGTGCGCGCTTTTTTTTGAATTTTTTTTTTAAATTGTTGATATTTAAAATAAATTTTAAAAAATAAAAAAATTATTATTTTAATATATTTTCAAAAATAAAACCTTCAATAAACCATTTCTATCACTCCCAGACAAGCCCTTAAGCATACACAAAAACGCTGCCTGGTTAGTTTATACGCTAAGCAATCTCCTCCAATGGTTTCATTATACCTCTGCTAATTTGCCCTGCCTAGAATTTTAAGTATATTGGATCTCTAAGTGCTAATTTTTTTTTTGGTTGGCAACATTCACAGAAATGGATGAAATCTGAAAGAGAGGTTGGGAGAGGGTCTTCATTCTCTCCTCACTTGCGTTTTGAGAGATAGATAAGGCTTTATAACTTGTTAGAGGAGAGGGAGGGGAAGGAAACAAACGGTCGATATTAACCAAACTGAAATTCAATAAGAAAGCTTTCGTGTCAGGGACTCGTTGATTCAACTTGTGGGGCAAAACCGCGACACGAGGGATCAAGTTTAGTGTGTGTGTGAACGGTAATTCATTCTCTTTTACCCAATTAGAATGTGACATGTCAGATGATGATGTGGTAGGTCTTCGCTTCAAATTTAAGTTTTCTCTTTGTGATTTTCAACGAGCTAGTTCATTTCACGAAATTGTTTCGTTGGGATTACGATTTACGAAGGTGTGCGCGTTTTTTTTTGCATTTTTTTTTAAATTGTTGATATTTAAAATAAATTTTAAAAAATAGAAAAATATTATTTTAATATATTTTCAAAAAAAAAAAAACTTCAATAAACAATTTCTATCAATCCCAGGCAAGCCCTTAAGCATACACAAAAACGCTGCCTGATTAGTTTACACGCTAAGCAATCTCCTCCAATGGTTTCATTGTACCTCTGCTAATTTGCCCTGCCTAGAATTTTAAGTATATTGGATCTCTAAGTGCTAATTTCAATTTTTTTTGGTTGGCAACATTCACAGAAACAAAGAAAGAAGCAGTAAAAAACTTGTAACAAGCCAAAAAGGCAAACTAGCCAACTGGGAATGCGATTACCACAGAGCAACTCTCATCTGTTGAAAACATAGCCAGAAAAACTACAGAACAAAAAAGGTCTGAATGATGGCGCTTGGTAATTTAAGCTGCTGTAAGACTGTCAATTATTTTTCTGTGTTTCTATTTAGCTGCAAGTGGAGTCATCCGCAAAACACTTTTCTTCAAGATGCATAACCCAGCCACTTTGAAAATTCGACAAACTTCCATCCTAGAGTATCCAAACTCATCCTTCAAGCATAGTCCTAGCAGCATCAATCAGACTTGGCCTAAAGTCTTCCGAAGCTCGACCCAGTACAGTGTATCCTTCCTTGTCTTCCACATCCACATCTGCTCCATGTCGAATTAGAAGGAGAGCCACCTACAAACCAACCAAACACAGATTTTAATAGGCTTTCAGATAAAAACAAAAAATTACAAGACAATTTAAGACTGTCTAGTTTAGTTAACTCTCATCAATTGATTGTTCATGAGTCCATATTGGGCAACAAGAAACTTGGCCAAGTCAAGTTGGCAAATAGTCAACATAAGCACAAAGCATACGGTAAGATAACCTGCCACTAAGATGACAACAAGAAGATAGTTGAAATGTAGAAATCCACAGGAATCAGGCATAGCAGATGTATAGTCGGGTAAGATAATCAATGCCTGATTTAGATTGTGCATAATCTATTTCACAGGTAAATGAAATCTATTGATATCACCTACAAAATATTGTCATGGTTTGCTGGACTGGCTCAAGGAGACATTAGAAACCAAAGTAACTGTAGTATCACATTAATGGATTCACTGGCCAAACCAATCTCAACTTTCATTTAATTTGCTCCATTATGAAGGACAAGGTTCCCACAGACCCTTTTCGGTGAAAAGAAAATGATTAAAAAAAAAGGGGGAGAAAAAAAATTCTGATCTTTAGGCAGGAAAATCTAGTAAATATAAAGAACAGACAATAAAATGGAAAGGATCAATAAAAAAATAAAAACAGATTAACAAAAAGTTCCATCTCCCTAATCTGTTTTTTATGTGGTATTTCATCCAGCTTACAATCTACTACCAAACCTTACAAGATACAAATTAATACAATAATGAAGGTATACACATAGCAGGGGCCCGGAATGCTCAATAGCACTGGTTGAGATTAGGGATCGAGGGAGCCAAACAAGATATGTACAAATCACATGGCAGATGAACAATGAAAGAAGCTTTATAGGTAGTAACCAGATCGTTAAGGAAAGTTCATCATACAATGTAAGCATCTCTTTCTCAAGTAATTCTGATCAAACTTACCTCTTTGTTATTGCAAATAACTGCATTCATGAGAGGAGTTTGACCAGCTTTATCAACAGCATCAACCTCTGCTCCTTCCTCGATTAAGAGTTCACACAACTCTGAGTTCCCTGTACTTGCTGCTCGATGCAACGGAGTACAACCAACCTAAAATGCATCATGCACAGCACATGAGTTACAAGAGAGTCCGTTGCTTTTGAACCGACCCATCAGCACATAACGTGCACATGTGCTGCTAGTAATATTATAATATAAGATTAAAGACTAGATGCATGAAGTTACAAGCCTTGTCTTTGATATTGATATTTGCACCATGCGAGATCAAAAGCTGAGCAATCTCCAACCATCCCTTGCTAGCAGCATAGTGAAGAGCAGCGCGCCCGCCATCATTTTTCAAATTAACATCAGCTCCTAAAAGGTAACATTCCCATTGTTATTGAAATGCGAAAAACTATTTCAGAGGTCCAGAAGAGGCGGCGACATGGAGGACAGAGCGGCCGTCGTCGTTTTGGAGAGAGAGGGCTTTGGAGAGGAGTTCTGGTGGAAGGGATTTGAATGTCGAAGAATCGCCTGTCTCTGCTGCCTTGAAAAGGTCTTTGTCTTTGATTTGGCTTGGAGGATCGATGTCCATGTCCATTAATTATTTCTTTTTGATGGGGGATTGGAGCGTTCTTATGGGGATTTTAAGGGTTTTTGAGTCTCCTCCTTTTGGGGTGTGGTGCTTAAACTGTAAACAGACGTAGGAGAGATTATAGAAGTGATAATGAGCAACGCGTCAGTGGGCCGAAAGAGAAGGCCTGTCCAAATTCGTGATTGGATAATCGTACATGATTCTAAATGGAAATAGGAAAAAACTGTGACTTGCATCCATGAGCTAAAAAACTAATGATACAACACAGCAAAACGCCAGAAGCCCTACCATCTCATATCAAGAAATTTAAAAGCAAGACCAACTCCATCTCTTGAAATCTTTACACACAAGTAAATGAATAAATTACAGATTCACTATCTCCATTTTTATTTCAATTCTAAGGGCAAACCAATAAAGATGCAACTTGAAACCTATACCTTTCTTTCTTTCTTTCTTTCTTTCTCGCCCTTGTAAAACCATTACTGAAACAGTTAAAAGGTATGAGGTTGGTTTAATTGTTTAAATTAACAGTTAAAAACATGAATATGTTATATGAATCATTTAGAGCATCTATAATAATGCTATATTTAGAAGAATTAAATTGGTATAAATATAATTTTTTATTTATTTATATGCACGGCAATTGTAAGAAACCATTTAGAAGAGCTATGTGTATTTTAATATACTTATATGTTGAGTTGACATGTTTAAAAACAATATAGATTATTTTTAATTAATTTAATATTAAATTAAAAAATAATTTGAGTTAATCCAAATTAACTTGTCAAACACATAACATGAATTATAAAATTAAGATAATTTTATAAAAAAATATTTAAAAATATAGATTTTAAAAAATTAATGAAATAACATTATTGTAATGAATATTATTTTAGTATTTTTACCATACATGTAGGGATGGCATTTTGGTAAGAGAAATGATAAAATAGCATTTTGTTTAAGATGCTCTTAGTTAATAAAATACAATTTTGTTTAGGATAACAGTTTTATGTGAGCAAAAATGTTTTTCTTATTGTTTATGTATTTTTTAAAAAAAAAAAAAGAAATAAAAGCCTAAGTATATTTTTAAAAAAAAAGAAATAAAAGCCTAAGTATATAGGCCTCTATCAAGCCCATGTTCGTGAGCTTTTTTTAACAAGCTCGTGGTTTTCTTGTTAATTATTCAAGTTTTTTTTTTAATTTATATGTTTTAATATAATATTTTATTTTATTTTTTAATATTTAATTAATAATAAATATTTTTATCTTATTAATATAAAAAATTTTCGGGAAACTTTTTTTTATCTTTTAATTTTCTTTTTTTTTGGGAAACTTTTTTTTATCTTTTAATTTTCTTTTAGGGTTTTTAAATTTTTCTTGATTTTTTTTTATTATTTTTTAAAATTTTTATCATTTCATATAATTTTTACTTAATTTTATTATTTAGTATCGTGTTGTTTTTTCTTAAAATTTATTCGGTGAATAAAATCATGTTAGAATAATTTTTATATAATTTAATTTAAAATTTGGACTAAACAAGTAATTATATTAGAATTTTTTAAGTTTTAACAATTATACTAATTTTGATTAAAAAAATTACAATAATCTAAATATTATTTTTCATGTAATTTTTTTATTCCAAGCGGCTGTCGATAAACTATTACCGAGCTGCAAGTGGTTCTATTTCTTTGTTTCATAAGCCCTTAATAATAACAAGAAAAACTCTTACCTTTTAGTTCACGACACCGTCGTCCTGGTAGTCTCGATGAAGGTAAAAAGTAGCTCAAATTGTTTGAGCTACTTTTTCCAGAACATAAAAGGTAGCTCAAATAAATAGAGACTTATATTGCATTTTCAGGTTTTTTCTTGGATCAATAGTGACGATATTTTCCTTCCAGAAATTAAAAAAGTAGCCATTTTAAACATGAAACAAAATTCAAAAACTTGAACTAGTAAAGGCGACATTGTTTTAATTTGCAATGAATTTTTTTAATTAAAAAATAAAGATAACTAGATTCTTAATTGAAAATTTAACATGCCAGCCTAATTATATTTTAAGTTATTATGTGAAATCTCAATAATAATCTTATATTATTCAACTTTAACATACAAATATAAGTCTCTTGCTAGTGGAGTTATAGGCACATTCGAAGTAATGATTTCACCAAGGAGAAAAAAAGAAAAAGGAAAAAACCTTTTAATGGCTAACATTTAGGATTCAAACTCGTATAATATGCTAGGAATACACTCACTTGCTAATCAAAATAAACATTAAAAAAAAAAATACAGCTTTAAATGCCCACGTGTAGCTGATCTTTGGTTGACTGTAAAATGCGGCATGCATTGTAGACAGATCTAGATTACTTTTTATCCAGTAAAAGAAAATAAGTCATGAGGGTTTTGACAGCAGTGTCCGAACATTTGTTGGATCATATATCCACACCCCTCCGTTATCAAGCTTGCTAGCTGCTTTGCAACTTTTACCTGTGGTGAGGATGATGCAACACGAGACAGTCTAGCATGATTCTCAACTTCATTTCTCCTGAACAGACGAACAAGCATGTTAGATGTTGACATATAATTCATAGATTATGAAGAACAAGGGATAAATAAGCAGAATTATGAAGAACAAGGGATAAAAAGCAGATGATGCCATGTCCACAGGGTGCCCCAAAGGGGTGACCTGAGAACACAGAGTGCTTTGTCCATCTTGTAGCTCACAGCTAGAAAACCAACCCCCCCGTGTTCTCAGGAGCCACTCCTCTGGGGTGTACCGGCTGTCATATGAAACGGAGACTCGATAAATCAATACTATTGAAGACTGGTAATGAACTAAACTGATCATGGAAGGTTCAATAGCATTGGCCATCTTATTGGGCTGAAGAATCTCAAGTCAATATTTAATGATGTGGTCATTCTAACGACATCACAGAATGTTGTCATCCTTGCGACAACATTCTAGGGGTGTAAGTGTAGTTACTGTTGTAAATAATAAAGAATTTTTTAAAAGATATACACACACATTAAAAAATCGAGATTTTCATCTAGAGTTTGTATATTGAGTTTTTTATTTTATACTGAACAAATAAAATATTTATATAATAAATTTAATATGAGATAATAACTAATAAGTAAATGAGAGTAGGCTCAAATCACGCATGTAAGGTTGAGCTGAGCGCAAAAAAATCTTTGATTGTCCCCAGCGCGAGGTAATGCTTGTATTTTTTGAATATTTTGTTTTTTACCTATTATAAAAAAATAGTATATATATATATATATATATTTGTTATTTATCATATATTAGTTACAAAAGTTCTAGCTCTGAAAGTTGGATTCAAAAGGCATCTTCAATTTAATGAAAAATATTCAAAAAGTGACAGGCTCGAATAAGAGACCCTGAACCAAATATTAACATTTTAAAAACTAAACTACACTACTGAATGAGTAACAAAGAGACCAGGAAAACACCTGGATTGTAGGTGTTTATACTATGTACTTTAATAATTTAGTTATGGTTTTGCTCCTTGTTATTTGGAAGGCTTATATGTTTTTGGAGGTTATTTTGGGTTTCTAACTTTTTCCATGTACAAACCCGTTCAAAATAAAATACTTTACAATTAGATCCCCAATGTTTCACACACTTGTCAATTAGATACTCTCATTAATATACGTCAATATCTCTCACCCAATGTGCATATTCTATGCAATAAAACAGGATCATGGTGGATATGACTTGACGGGAAACTTAACAAACTTGGATACAAGAACCATATTGAGAAATGTATAAAACGTTTGGTACTCATTTGAGAATCAAGTAATACAATAGGGGCTAAAAATTCTTAGGGGCCCCTGATCTCCCGAGACGGAGACACTTCACTCACCATCACAGATTCACATTATCACTTGCAATATACGCCACAAACGTGCTGCCGACACAATATCGAGTTGGCTCTCGCTGTTGCTCGATGAACCAAGAAGTAAACGCGGCCCCAACGCTGAAAGTGTACATAGGATGCCAAGAAACTCGCTCACTGATTAGATTGGCCCTACATCCTTTACCACCACAATCAATGTCATTATATCTGAACTACCCATTTTCCATTCGCAATATCATCACACTTATAAATAAATCCAATCCCTGCACCTCTACAGTCTATCCAGTTATCCAAACAAGAAAATTATCTGCAATCCTCTCTTGATTCTCGCTGCTGTTTCCTAGCTAATAGTGACAATATCCATGGATTCACTTCCCAAGGACCAACGAACTGGGCATGACCGTCAACCCACTACGTCTGAGCTTCTCTCAAGTGCCAAGCTAGTGGCTGGGGCGGCTCAATCCTCGTTCGGCAAGGAAGGAGAAAAAATAGACAGGGCCAAAGTTGCTGGTGCTGCAGAAGATCTTCTTGAAGCTGCCTCTAAGTACGGAAAGCTGGATCAAGACAAAGGCATGGGCCAGCTATTAGAAAAGGCTGAGACTTATCTCCACCAGTACCATTCTAATACCCTGCCCACCGCCACCCCGAGCACTACTGGTTCCGGCGACACAGCTCCCGTTGACAAAAAAGAATCGTCAGCCCCGCCTTCAACTCGTGGTGACGATGACCAGTCTGGAAGTGGGCTCGGGGGAGCTTTCAAGATGGCTCAAGGATTCTTCAAGTAGACTATGTATCTTGGAATCACGTTTGTGCGAATAAATTAATGTGCTTAGCTACGTGGCTTTTAAATTTCAATCCTAATCCTCTGTGTGTGTTATATGTACTGATGTGTTTGATTTACTAGTGGAGCTTGATCATATGTTGCGTCTTGTATGCTGTCACTCTTTAATTTAATATTCTAGTTTTATATATCTGGTTTTTGTTCTGAAATTTTCGGTTCGTTATCACAGCTAACTTCTTGGAGAACTTAGAGATGAAAAATAGTCGCACCATATGGTACCTGATGGGTGTTGACAGAGTCAGAGTCAGCGGGTTGTTGTGATCGACTTCTAAGGAAGATGTTTGTTTACGTTTCTATTTTTAAAATTCATTGTGTAAATATTATGTTTGATAACATTAAAATGTAACTCATTGTTAGTGTGAATCCATATATTTTTTTCAATTGAAACGCTGGTTCTACAAAGCAGCTGAGAGTTGCTTCTCATGTCTGCCGAGTAAATAATTTATCTAAATATTGTTTATTTTAATAAGTGAATAATATTTATACTGTTCATTAAATTTAAAATTATATTTCACTTGGAAAACTAATATTTAATATCATATAATAACATAGTATTATAGAATTTGATCTTTTAATTTTATTTTCAATAATATTTTACCTAATTTTATTGGATGTTAAAAATATCATGAAAATTATAATTTGTATCATATGAATTTTATATATGATGAAATTATAGATAAGTTAATATAATAATAAAAAATATTTGATATGAAATATTATTTATTTAATGATATAATTGTGATAGTTAAATTTATAATATTTAAATTAAAAATAATTGATATTAATATATATATTTTTAATTATTTTATAACCTTAATTTTAAAAATATATTTAACTAAACATATTAAATTATTTTTTATTTGATTTTAATTTTAACCATAATTTTAATTAGATATATATAAATATTAAATCAATTTTAATCAAAAATATTTTTTATAAAATTATTTTTTTAAAACCACAACTATAAAAATTAATGCATTGCCATTAGTCTAAAATATAAAAAAAAAAAATTACTGCACAGTGAATCACGAATCAGTCCCTGACCTCTGGTCTTTATAAAAAATTGTCTCTATTTTGTCGTCATAACCAACCCATCATCTATGCTGTTAAGATCCTCTATAAGGCGTTAAGACCCACTTTAATCTCATGCAATGTCGTGGTGTCAAAAACAAATGGATCCATCATTATTGTGTACCAATAAACGACTACAAGCGACTTTTTGCAGCTATCCACAGTCAATCGTTTCTTCTTTCTCCTCCTTTTGATACTTGTTTGTTTTCTTCTCTCTTCGGATCAATAACTCGTAACTAAAAAATTCATGGAGCTTATTCACCTTTTTCTGTGAAGATTCTAAAGCTATTAAGAGTGATTTGGGTTTTTGAACTTCGAAGGAGTGCATTTAGGGGGCAAATGGAAGGTTCTAGAAATTAATTAATAAAATACTTAGTTTATAGTTGATATTAGTTTAATAAATTCGTGCATGGGATCAAATTAAAACTTTTTTAAAATATTTATATCATATAGAATTATTTAATATTATTATCAAACTTAACTAGTAAAAAAGAAATTATTCAACTTTTTATTTAAATAAAATTTAAAATTTTATCATATTAAAGTTTACCTGTTATTACTCTAACAACTCAACATGTTTGAAAGCAATCTAATCAATTGGTAAAAGAAAATATGGAAAAAAAATTAATAAAAAAAATATTAAGATTGACAAAAAAAAACCTTTTAATCTAATTTCTTATCTAATTGAAATTTAAAATTAAATTGTGTAAAAATTATTTTGATATAAAATATTCAATTTGATAGATTTAAAGACCACAATGGTAAGTTGAAAAAACACAAAAAAAAATCAAGAAAAAAAATGAAATTAATATAAAGAATCTTTTTAACTTAGCTCCCAACTTTATTCTCATTTAAATTTAAATTACCTAAAAATTATTTTAATATATTTAATTAAATTGATCGTCTGTTAAATTAAATAAAAGTTATTTTTAATATAATTTAGTTAATTTCATTGTCTAAAAATAACACGAATACTCAAGTTTTAAAATTTCAGGATGAAAGGCATTATTAGAAAGGTAATAATGGAGCGAAAAATAGCATGGATTTAGCAACAGATTCAATTTGATATTATTAGAAGCAAAATGATAATTGGGTTGTGTGTGTGTAAAACTTGTAAACTTTCAAACTAGAAGAAAAATACACGATATAATTTGAATTTACAATAAATTTTGAAATTTGAAATTTTGATGGGCTTTACCTTTTAATTTCCTCTCAATAGAAATTCAATTGTTTGTTATTGGTACTGGGTTTATTTATAGGACTCATTTTGGTTTGAATCGGTTGGTTTTATAATATGTGAATCATTCATTTGCGCGCCGTGGTTTCGATGTAATGGCTGAACTAGATGGTTGCTAATTGTAATAATGCCTAAATTAATTTTTTTAACTAAAAAACAGTAAAAATGCCTAAATTATTTTTTCTATTTTTATTTTAAAATTTAATCTAAATAATGCAGAAAATAATGCATTACAAAAGGGAGAAAGCATATTACCATGGTGAGATTTTATTTAGATAGATTAATCAATGGCTTACACGAGAGAAGTTAAACCCAATAAGAATTATAAACGGTGATCACATTCTCCGGATAAAAGATCATCGATGCATTTATTCAAAATAATCCTTTCTTATATTCTAGATGATAGGAAGCGGAGCGCCAGTCAACGGACGTAATTTCTAAATCAGATGGCCTGACCTCCGAAACTTTTGGGTAGGAAACGACGCAGTTTGATTTTGTGTTGTTTTTTTTCTTTTCCATTTTCTTATAACGTTAGCCGAGGACAAGGAGCAGCGGCAACAGAAAGCCACCAAGTGAAGGGGGAAGAGAGAGGGGGGGGGGGGGGGGGGGGGGAGATAATTTTCTTCCTCTCTGGATCTCTTGCCCACTCCTAATTCCTCCAAATTGCAATTGCTAAAAGGTAATTTCGCTTATATCCCCCCATTGTTTTGCAATTCATCACAATTCAATAATGCAGTACCCAATTTCTATAGGAAATTTCCAGATTTCTGTCAATCTTTTTAATTCCTTGCATTTATGGCGCATTGTCGTTTTGAGGTTTTTTAACGAATGCTTAATATTGCAGTTGTGAGCGTAAATCTATGTCAAGGATTTTGTTTTTTCATGCTTATAATTTTTTTTTGCATGATCTTATGGAAATTTAAAGTAATTTGATCAATGTAAACTGATTGGATATAAGATCTTATTTAGATTGGAATGATTTCAAATGATAAAATGTTTTTTTCCCTCTCGTATTCAAATCGGACTTGGTTACTTAAACTGTAGGCAAAGTAAAAACAAGCAACGTAGGTGAATTCTGCAGAAATTATATATACTTTGAGTTTGAGAGAATCTTTTGTAAAGATAGAAGCTGTGTCATTTTTGCCTTGAATTCGGCTCAAGAGTTTAACTTTTATTTGTTCATCTCAATGAAAGCACGTGGACAAATGCATTCCTGATCTTATATCTTGCTTAAAACGTTTTTTTTTTTTTCTTTTTCAGATTTCATTTTTGGAACAAAACGGTGTTGATTAATGCCTGATGCGAAAAAATTTAACATTCTGGATTATGACTCTGTTTTTCTCACAGGATAAATGGCTCGATCTCAGCAGTTTTAGCGGTTACTGCATTTATTTATTTTTGGTCCAGGATGATGTGGAGGTTTGCATCGAATGCCCTCACTTCTATCGGACTGAAGAAAAGCTCAAAAGAGGCAAATCGGTCTAATTTAGAGTTTTCAGATGACGAGGTGTGTTCAAATGTTAGCGGGGAAGAAGGACTTGAATGCCCAATATGCTGGGAATCTTTCAACATTGTTGAGAATGTACCTTATGTCTTATGGTGTGGTCATTCCCTCTGCGAAAACTGTGTCTTGGGGCTTCAGTGTGCTTTGTTGGGATTCTCTATGCAAAAAATAAGGATTCCATTCTTTGTTTCCTGCCCCTGGTGTCAGTTGCTGTCATTCCGACTAGTCTATGAGGGGAGTCTGAAGTTCCCTCGCAAGAATTTCTTTCTCCTCTGGATGGTTCAAAAATTGAACGGTGACAGGGTGAAGTTTAGTTCCTCCCTTTGCACTAATGACAATCAACCAATTTGGTCTCCGAAAGGAAATTTAATCTTTGGACATCAATTTAGCAACAGTAGCCTCGGTAGGGCCACATATAATCAGGGACAGGGTCAATTGGGCTTTAATGGAGATGGTGGTAGCAGAAATGGAGAGAGGAACCACTCTTCTCTTCACAAATCTCTGGATTATTTTCTTGACTTCACAACGAAGTTTCCACTGGTCATCATATTTCTACTGATTGTTCTTTTTGTGGTACCTATCAGTGCTGTCATTGTACTTCTTTACTTGTTAGTGACAGTTCTTTTTGCACTACCATCTTTCGTGGTATTGTACTTTGCATACCCCACTTTGGCGAGGCTGGTGAAGGAGATAGCCTCTTGAGATGTTCTGTTGGCTCCTCATTTCAGAGAATCCAAGAAATTTTGCAGCCCTGTCATTTCTCAGTATTCACTTCACTGGCATTTCGATAGTAGTTCAAGTAGTGTTGTATGTCTTGATCCAGCTCTACTTCCTTCGCATATCTCTTTCACTGTTTGGCTGGCTGTCGGAAGCTCTAGAATTTCCATAAATGCTTGGCAGAAGCCTGATTATGGCTGGCTTAATCAAAGAGTTGTTAAGATGTCTTAGTCGTTCCTTATTCACTCCGAGAGTGGTTCATTTGTTCTTAGAACGATTATTGAGGGAATTTAGCATATAATTTTGATCTTTTAATGGTCCCAATATACTGGAGTGGATTTGGGAAAAATGCACTATTTTGGCATTCGTATTTCTAAATTGCATTTCCCCCCCTCCCTTCTACTTGGACTCGCATGAAATCTTGCTTTGCATCCTGAGAACGTTTTGATTTTTCTCATCACACTGTTCCATTTTTGCATACCTTTCGCATGCCTGTCAAGTACAATGGTGGCATGCAGGCCAATAATTTTTTTTGGCTGGTTGTGACTGCGTCTTTGTTATGTCTGTTATTCGTTTACCCATAGGGCAGGGATATTCTTTGTAGAGATGCTCTCA